TAAGAGAGTTGATTAGTTTTCTCCAGAACAACAAGTCAGCGTTTTTAAGAATGGTTCTCCATCTCCAGCAGTGAAAGAAGCCATACAAAGTTTTCCAGCCCTTACTGGCCAATTTGCATGGCAGTTTGGACACCCTCCACATCTCATCCATAGAAGTCCACTAAGTTAATGTTCCAAACACACCATGAAGAGAACGCTCTACATCACAGGTACTTTCTTAGTTACAGGATTTTTTGCAAGTACTCATGCAGTCCAATACAACTCCAATGCCATTGGAGTTGACTGATGCCATTTTAAAAAACAAACAAAAGGCAGACTGCTGTCATACAGAGTGTACTTTACCTTCATTCTGGAAGCCAGGCTTACAATCGTCAAGTGTTTCAGTTTGTTCTTCTGAGTCACTGTTAATTCAGGCAGCTTATCTTTGTTTGCTGTTAATGTTAAAAATACAAGATTCAGGACTTTCCTTCAAGAATTATATAATCCAGGCTGCAAGACTTCAGGCTAGTTACACTACATTAAACTCTGAAAGGCTGAACTCCTCCAGCTACTGTAGGTGCCGGTGAGTAGAGAGAGCTGCCACTGGTGACAGACTGGCACACCCAGGGAGAGACTGAAAAGTTAAAAATCAAGTTGGTAATTCCATTCTTCTCTGCTTCTTTAGTAATTCTGGTTTTGGAATTAGAACGTAATTTACATCTACACAAGTGATGTCCTGCCAAAACAGCTGGTCAACACTTTGTTTCTACCACCGAGTCATTTTTATTTCATTTACGAGCTAACAGAATAAAATCTTCCCCCTTTGCTGATCTGGTTGTAAATACAGTTGGTTTTATTTCTCTGAACAGTTGCAGAATTTAGGGTTGAAAGTGTAAAGTACGAGGCTGAGGAAAAGAGGAGAAATTATTAATCTAGATACAGTGACAGTGAGGCCATGTAAGTATTATATTCATGTGCCTCATGAATATTTAAAAACACAAAAGGAAACTGGCAGCTTTCCAAAGCAAATAAACTCTTTAAAATATCTGCTTTAATGGAAATTTGTGTTTCAGAGCCACTCAAGTTCTCCCATCCATCCCACCTCATTCGATACTCTACATTATAACTACTTTTCCCCCCTTCTCTTTCTTCACTAGAAAAGGAAGGAAGAACTGCATTGTCACATGCTGGGACACAAGACCCATGGACAGCAAACACATCCTCTAATCAGTCACAGAATTCATGAGGCTCTTGTTGCTCCACAGCCACTGGAATTTCAAGTCCTTGCACTTCTGGATGCCACTTTTCCTTGCAGCAACTAGATAGCTCATCCACCGCAGTGATAGCCAGCACTATGACAGAATTATTTGTCACACTTGGTAACGGTCTGGATTAGGCTGCTACCCACAAATGAAGTATTAAATTGTAGCAGAATGGAAGCATAAGCATCAGAGATAAAAGCATATCCCGACAGATATTAAGATGATTCACACACAGTCCTTCTGAAGCTGTGTAAAAGTCATTATTTTGAGTTGTATTCTTGCTAAGAAATGCTTCATTTTGTTTCAGCAACGTCATCACAGAATAAAAAGTTATCCCATAAACCATATAGGTTTTTATAAATAATGCAGAACAATTTTGTCTAAGTTTTCTGCAGCTTCCATAAGCAGTGTCATCTAAATTTCAAAACGGATGTCTGAAATTGCACCCCGCAGAGGTAAGCAGCCTGTGAATGTCGATAAATACTGCTACAGCACCATTCAATCCAGCACTGCAGTCCAATCCAAACCAGTAAAACACCACAGTCTCTAGCCCTTCCTTCGCATTTTAGCAATGAAAAAGCACACGTGACCCAGAGACCCTCTATGAACAATTCTCCTCCCAAGCAAATTCTGTTCTTGGACACTTTCACCCTGCCACATGGCAGCGGGTACCACAGAGAGCAAAGAACTGCCTCTTACAGTTCTGAAGGGCAACCCAGTCTCACACACTGTGAACAGTCTCTTACCTACATAGTCTGGGTACGTTCCGTACGCAAACAGGTTCAGCAACTGGAAATAAGCAGCATTAGATCCTTCAGCAAGCTGGATGGGAAGAAAACAAAAAGAAATTTCAAGTAACACGGTAATGGCCAATACAACACTGGTGGGCAACTTCTTCAAAGCATGTTTTAAATCTACAAGCAGTACCCAGAAAAGCAATTATGTCCAGATCTTATAGAGCTGGACCCTTCCTAAGGCCTCACGAGCAGCAGCAAATTTCAGCAGTTTCAGAGTCAAGATGATCCAGCCATTTCTACGCACCAGAACTTAACCGCAGTTTGGACTGTCAACTGCTTTGTGCGGCACCTTAGGAGGTAAAAGAAAAAGGTGACTCTTAATTTCAGCTGACATCCTACAGGGCCAGCTCTTCTCATCTGACAAGCAAGCAGGCATCCTTGCTGTTACTGGGAAAGCTAAGGCAGCTTACCTGCAGAGCCACAGAAACTTTAAAGCAAAGCAAGCTAGAACACTTTAAGTTGATATCATTTGAAAGTAACAGTGCTCGTCTCAAATGCAAACATTACACTGGATTAACTGCAACACCAAGTCGTAATTTTTACAGAGTGTTTTTAACACCATTTGCTGCTGACACAGCCAGGAAAAAAACGTACTCGCGATTTGATACTGAATACCACAGAGGCATTTTCAGCCTATCTACTAGCCCGTCTGGAAAGCCAAGCTTGCTGTAGGCCACAGTGCCCCAGCTGTGGAGATACCCAACCTAGATTCCCTCATTGTAGCAAAAGAGGGGTGCTGGCGAGCCATTCTCAATAAAAGCTCTAGAACTTACTTTCCACCTTGGTTTGAAATGGTTTGGATTTGGTTACCACCCAGGCCTCATACACTAGACATCTGTTCACGAAGACTTTTGGAGAGCGTTGAAGTTATGCTTTCCAGGACAATGAAGGAGTAGAAAGGGATTTTTTCCTTGTTGGCTGGCTAGGTGCCTTCTTAAAATTGTTACTGTGCTGCCGCCAGGCTTTTGCTATATTAGCAATTGCATCAAGGTAGCAAAGCTTTAAAGAGGTTCTTTTTAACATCTAATATATACCGGCAAAAGCAACGTCAATCTCTCATATGCAAACATCTCAGAACCAAGATAAGTTGCACCAGGCCTTTCCTGGCACAGAGATTTCACTCAAAGGCTGTCTGTGGAAACTTCTGAGGATCGCAGAAGGGGCATTAGGATAGAAACTCATCTCTTACCTCTTGCACATTTGTTAATTCCAATAGCTCTCCGAAGACATAAACCCCAGGAGCCTCCAGCACTTGATTTATAAGAGCAGTCAGAGCTGAGCCACTTGTACCTTTGGCTAGTAAAATAAACTGCTCTAGAAGATTGCAGGATGGTTTCTGTTCTCCTGCCATTCTAGGTTTTCAATCTGTCAATAAAAGAACACAATATTAATACACCCTTTCTCCCCTGCTGAATTCTGTCTGGCAGTGGATCAGAAGGCACGCTCAGCATAGCAACACTTCAGTGTCAGCCGAGCCAGGTTTTTCTTCGGCATTCAGAAGGCAGGCGGGGAACTCTGCAGGCACTGATGCTGATTTATCTAGGGAGCAAAACTAACTCAGACAATATCTGAGCAAAACTTCTGCAGGCTGTCTGGTCAGTTCTCTAAAAGGATCCACACTTGCTAGCAGGAAAGGAGTTTAGATTCCAAGCTGTTTTCAGACTTCTTCTTCTACTGATGCTGCTGAATAATGTTAACTGCAAAGATGTTTATTATTATGTCTGCTAGAGGCCAGCTAAAACTTCCTCCTTCCCAAAACTCACTTAATTCTCTGTGAAGAATTTATCCACCTTGAAGGCCTGCACCATTGCACTTTTTTCCTTCACATCAGCTACAGATAAGGCCTGTGCACGTAATTCCTATTGCTTTCTGAGCCTAAAAGGCAAAAAGAACAGAGGCCTGTAAGTAGCTTACCAGTCTACATTGTACAGTTAAAGTATTTTGGGTTAACTGGAAAGCTTAAGTGATAAAAATAACCTTTCTACAAAGGCTCCATTTAAGTCTCCGTGAAGAGAGGTCTTTGTCTTCATCTGTTGCCTGACATTTCTGATGGGCATGTCGTCTCCCAGCACAACACGTTGCTTTTGAAATGTAAAACACTATTTATTAACAAGTTCAACAAATAAGTTATTTGTTTACAAACAACTAAGAAAAAACATCGGAAGCATATTATTCAGACACCAAACAAAGAACTTAGCAGATAAGGGAGTTTTTGTGTTCTGTTTGTATCAGATAATTCTCTAGTACAGCATAACCTTTACTCTGGCAAAGAAAACCAGACACCAGAGAACCCATCTCATTCTGCTTGACCGCTAAGACCACATCTGCTCTCATGGGGCTGGTACAGTCGCACAGGTGTTTGCCATGCCTAACCAAATTAAGACTTGTGAAGGCAATGCAGACAGCTTCTGATATTAGTCAACTTCTGAAAACACGCTTTACTCCATTGCATTACACTTGCAGGTAAAAACGGTCTCAACCTGAACAGGCAACCTTCTGCACTCTCCACACAATGACTTCTCGGTTCTTCATGTAAGGTCTCTTTGAGATTCTTTTCATCAGAGGCACACGTGCAGCCTGACGGAATCATACCTCCGTTTTGCCTGAGAAATCCCTGCAATGCAATGATACTCAATGTGGCTTCCCAATGCACCTGTGGGTTCGGCAGTCCTACTCTCCCTGCTCACAGATAAGGAAACAGACACAGAGGGCAGACGATTTTCTCAGGAGAGCACGTGAAGCGACCGAGCTGGGAATGAAATCCAGATTTCACAGTTCCCAAGCTACTGCCCTCCCTCACAGGTAATCAAAACACACACTGGTGCACGAGGTTACAAAAGACTGATGGGCTTTATCCATGCCCTACCAGGAAACCGAAACCAAAACCAATTCTTTGACACTTTCTACGTTTACATTCAGACAACCATGTTGTTATTGCAACGTGCCTGCACCACCGTGTCACCGAGACCACCTCGCTCCTGGTTCCGCAACCGACTTACCCCGCTGAGAACTGACTGAAACGCCAACGGAAGGCACGTTAACGGAGCTCGCCCAAAGGCTGCGATAACCCACAGGCAGGGATCGGCCGGG